GGGGGGGGGGAAAAAACAAACCCCGTGGGAAAACCCCGGGGGGGGGGGGGGGGGGGGGGGGTATTAATAGTGGGGAATGCGGTAGTGGTTAGCCCATGGCCCTGGCTTCCCCAAAAAGCGGGGTCCGGGGGGGGGTGATTTTTTTCTTCATGTTTTTTAGGGCCCTTGCCCTGGGGGCCCCGGAAAAGCTTCCGCTTCAGTTGGACCGTGTACCCATTTTAGAAGGGGGGGTACTCAGCAGACGACCAGAACGGTTATGCTAGATGGAGAACTGACTAAATTCAACAACATTGAGCTTGTCCCCCCCCCCCCCCGCACGCTGTCCCCAACATTGTTCCAGGTGTTCATCAACGATCTGTTGGAAGTCGTAGAGGCAGTCCGGAAGGGAGTAAAAGTAGGGGACACGGAAACTTCGGTGTCAGGAATGCTGTTTGCGGATGACTTTGTTGGTATGTCGGACACCCCTGAGGGACTGCAACTGCAAATTGACGCGGCGAAGAAGTTTACTGATAAGTGGAGATTGTCTGCCAACGTTACGAAGAGTGCCGTCATGGTATGCAACGAGGGCAGGGAGGAACCAGTAGAACATAGATGGAAGTGGGGGATCGAGGAGATTGCAGTAGTCGACCAGTACACATACCTCGGAGTAGAGATCGCAAAAGATTGCTCGTGGAATGCACACATGTCCAAGGTAGCGGAAAAGGGCAAAGCACGAGCAGGGAAGCTGCACCCAATACTCGCAAACCGGCACCTTGATACACGCATCAAATTGACGGTTTTGAAGAGCGTAATCGTACCGCCGCTGGAGTACGCCGGAGAAGTATGGGAAGGAAATAAGAAGGTAGTGAAAGAACTCGAGGCGGCGCAGATGAAAGCAGCGAAAATCATCCTAGGATGCTCCAAGCGCACAAGTAATGCAGCAGTCAGGGCAGAATTGGGGATCCAATCCCTACGGTCGGGAAGAGACGTAAGGAAGCTGACATGGCAGTACCGCATGTGCGGGATGGGAGAGGAGAGGTTGCCGAGAATAGTATGGGAGGCGAAGTGGGCAAACAAAAAGAGGGGTAGACAACCCACGGAATGGGTCAAGGTTGTAGAGGACGTATGGAAGGGATTGGACATCGACGAAGATGAAACGCTGGAAACGGAGGGTCTACAGGGGTTCAAGAAGAAGATATCTGTTGCTTGTGCCGACAGAGAAGAACAGAATCTAAGGAAAGAATCCAAGGATAAGGAGGGTCTAGAAGTGTACGGAATGTTGAAAGAAGGAATAGGGTTCAAGGATTACCTACATGGACCAATGGATGCAGGGACAAAGCTTAAGGTCAAATTCAGGACCGGGGACATAGGCCTTCGCGAACGTCGTCGAAGACATAGGACGGTAGACGACGAAGACGACAAGTTCAAATGTCATTGCGGCTTCGAATGCGAAGACAGTGTTCATGTAGTCGCGGAATGTCCGTGGTACGAAAAGGAGAGGGAAGTGTACATGACTGAGCTGGGAAGAATACAAGGGACGTACAGGGAGATGTTTGAGGCATGGAATAGAGAGGAGAGGACGGTAGCGGTACTGGGGAGTAGGAAGTGGTTTGAAAAGGCGGGAAGTGACATCGGTAGGATAGACAGACTAGGGAAGAAATTTTTGAGCCACCTTTGGCAAAGTAGGAAGGAACGATTGGCCATCGGTGATCGGTCCTGTGGGAACAATGCTCCGTCCTCTCGAGGACGCGTGGTCAATGGTCTAACCGCTAAGGCATGCAAAGCATAAGAGTACGCCCCCCCCCCCCCCCA